ATGGTCGATGCCCAGTTGAGGATGCCTCTATATTTCTGACGGTACTCCAGAGAGAGACACAGGTGCTGGTGTATATATGCTGTTCCAGAAAAGAGCGCAAAATGACTTTCCTTACGGAATCTTCATAGTGTCAGTCATGTTTCGGAAGTAGAGCTGGGGCTAGCTATGATCCTTTGATTCTTCTCTCGCCGGACCTGAGTCTTGAGAAGCCACCGAGAGAAATGTATTCTTCCCACCAGCGTTGCCGATATCTACGGTATATAGTCCTCGAGCCGGAATGATCGTGCCCCTCATGTTCTCTCTACAGTCTTAGCGGAGCGGGAGCTTTACTCGTCAGTAATAGTGCTAAGTCTCGCACATCGGTCTCGATTTCATTGTCACTGTACCTGCTGTACCTGGTTCTCGTTGGCGAGGTGGTCATGGAAATGCATACCTACGAACATGGAAGTATGGAGCTATTGGAGGTTGGTCTCATTCCGTGCCTCTACTGCCACTTCTCTCATGTTGTTTGCTTGATTGGAACAATCCGTATGCTTGGTATTATTCGAGGTGAAGGAGAAATCTCGTGAGATCTGAGAATTCTTTTCTGCATCCTTAGCGTTCCCAGACTTCGCTTGACGAGGAGCTGGGGTTAGACTTGTGTTCCTTGAGAAAAACAGCTAATATCAAACTCCTCTCGACGGCAGTCCTGTATTTACATGTTTGTGAAGTGACGCATTGCTTGGTGGAGTACATTGAAATGGGTGTACCATGCTCATGAATCGACCTCGACAACCTGTTTGACTGAAACAACAATTTTGTGTAACAAAGTAAGGAGTCTGGATACAATTGTAGACGAGAGATCTCTGATTATTATCGTAATATCGTGATGTGATTCGTGAAGTTTGGGGATAAGCCATTTAACGAGTTGGGGGGAGCTCTCGTTGTGTAGGGATGCAGAGGTAGCCAAGAGACAACGCCAGGTCCCGTGACCACGAGGATCCAGTGAAGACTATATAGGCAAATTCTACATCTCCACGACAACTAATAAAAATGGTGATCTGATAAACAAAGAATCAGAACGTAAAGGTAATCATACTTTACAGAAATATACAAGCCGATAGAACTTCATCAAGGAAGCTTATGCTACAGTCCTTCGATTCACGAGATCACTCTGATGCTCGATCAATATCTTGTCCAGCGCACTCTTCTCAATCACTACTCTTCCCAACTCGAGCAAATCCTTGACATCCACTTCCTCAGCTGTCTGAACTCTCCCATGCTCACCAGCATGTTCCATGGCCTGAGTCAGGTTTCTCTCCAGATTCAATGTAATTATGAGTGTTCTCCCAAATTCTTTACCCCAGTGGTTGTGGTCCAAAATGGCCTTGATGTATCGTGCCTTCTGGTACTCGATATCCATCCCATCTTCGCATACAAGCAGTTCACCCCTCCTGTACCGCCAGCTCAAGGCAGTCCTCCACGCCAAATCGTACATTTTTCTCGGGAGGGCGGTAGCGAAGTCTCGAGGATGCGGTCCGAAAGTCTTTCCTCCACCCTGGATCACAGGCGATTGCCTCGTACCAAGACGCGCCTTACCACCTCCCTTTTGTGGTCTAACTTTGCGGTGAGAACCATGGACCTCGAATCGAGTCTTGGAGCTTGCTGTTCCTTGCCGGGTGTAGTCGCCTTCGAAGATGACTGCGCGGTGCAGAATATCGCGGCGGAGAGGAAGATGGAGGTGCTTGCTGTTGTATGATTCGAATCGGATAGGCTCCATCGTAGGAAATTTATAGATGGTGGTAAGGACTGTCGGGTCTGTGAAATAGGTCAGATGCTGCTGCCAGTTGCGCTAGAGAGGTAGTACCTGGTAGGCCGTACGTAGGATCCGAAGCGGTTTCAAGAAATGAAGGATTGAATTCGTGCGTTATGTTGGAGGGCATCGTGGTCTCCGTCGCCATTGACCTCGAAAGCCGTGGTGCCAGACATTGCTGCTGAGTAGTTAGAAGGACTTCTGCGACCAGGACGTTATGACCAACCGTCAACGGATCCTTCACTCCAGAAGAGAGCGTTCTTAGTGTTATCAAGCTCCGCGAGAACTTCTGCAACCCTTTGGACGCCATGGATGGTATGCGACTTGTTGTTCGTCAATCTCGTAGGAGTTCAAAATATGGCGGCACTTCGGTGGTCCCGGAATAATGTTAGTCCGTGTCACGGCGATATTTGAAATCTTTACAGACATCAACAAGCATCCACAACACCAACTATGCCCGCCTGTCAGAAGGCCGCAAGGCCATTGGCACGATGTCTCCAGAAAACACAGGCCTCGTGCAATTCCGCGAGAGTAACTCGAACCTTCACCAGCTCTTCCCGATCCCATGAAGAAGCTACCACCGAGAAAGTCTCCTTTAAGCCCGTACTCGATCCTGCGACTGTTACGAGTCCGAAGCAAGAACGAGCTCTGTTGAGGACTGGAGTAGTCCCAATCGGATCCAGAAGACGTCGCGCAGCATTGAAAAGTTCCGATAACATTCCGCTCGAGCAATTGCCATATCAATGTTTCCAGGAGGCCAGGAAAGTGCTCGCGGCAGACAGGGCTGAAAAGCTGGAGTTGATCGCTGAAGAACGTTCACGTATTTCGAAGCTACTGGCTACAGATGCTGAGAAAATCAAAGGGGGAGAAAATTCGAAGAATATGAGGCTGGATAGTATGCGGAGGCATCTGGAATATTTGAAGATACAAGCAGACATCAACGATCCCCTGATCAAGAAGCGCTTCGAAGACGGCGAGGGTACGCATATTATCTATTCTAAGTATTTTCAATTGCTAACCACAATTAAAAGGTGACATGAGCAAGCCCATCTACCGGTATCTGGCAAACGAGAAGTGGCGTAAATACCAACGCCCGCTCATTATCCAACGTATAAATCAACTTGGCGTTGTTCCCGATGTACTGCCTTCTTTCGAGCCCACCGCTGAGGTCAGACTTGCTTTCAGGGACCGAAATGTCCAGCCTGGCGATTTTGTTGATTCTCGAGTCAGTGAGGTTCCTTGCCGCTTGAAAGTTCAAGTCTTCGACAAAGGAGAACGATTTGTTAGCGTCATTGTGGTCGATTCAGATGCACCAGGGGAGGATGACAAGTTCAAGTCGCGATTACATTACTTCGCCGTCAACATCCCTATCTCCCCAACAAAGACTTCACTGCCTCTTTCCAAGGTCCCAGAAGACCAGCTCGTCTTACCTTGGCTCCCACCCTTCGCCCAGAAGGGGACCCCATATCACCGGTTTTCTGCGTTTGTCCTCCAGCAGCAGCCTGGCGAGCTTCTTGACGTGGCAAAGTTAAAGGAGAAGTTCCAACGAGACGTGCGCAGGACAAATCAAAGCAAAGAGCACTTCAAACATTTGGAGTGGAGTAAGCCTATCTCCATGAAGAGCGTTGTGCAAAGTCTGAATCTGAGTCCGATTGGGGTTGGCATTTTCCGCAGCTTGTGGGATGAAGGAACTGCTGGCGTGATGCAAAGAGCTGGTATTGAAGGAGCTGACATCGAGTTCAAGAAGAACAAGGTCATTGCGCTCAAGCCAAAGCAGAGGAAGAGAGGATGGGAGGCTAGACATTCTGGCCCGAAGTACAAATCGTTGGAGAGGTAGTAATTTGTATAGGTGTGTACCAATTGTATCAAATCTGTATCATGAGACCCAGGTGTCTCTGCTTTTCCACTCGAGAGACGTTTTCGCTGCCGTCCATTTGGAGATGGGCTAGCTTCCAATCATGATGGCGAGATCGTGGTTAGCCGGGGGGGAGAACGAAGCTCGGATCGACCCGGTCTACCTCAGAACGGCAACCAATATATTTTTTTTTTTCATTTTTTTTTTTTCGGTATTATTCAAGTCCATGGAAGCAGAATCGATCCAAGGGATCGTTCGCATTGTACTGGTATGCGCTTCGTTGTATGTCCGTCCATACTCTTCACACACCAGAATATTCTTCTCGTTGGATGAGACCGATTATCGATCAAGGTCATAGACCTTCAATGTTTATCGTCCAACATTGATAATTTTCAATAGGAAAGGCGAATGATGGCAGCGACCCCTGAGTATGTCGCTTATCTTTACGGGCTGTCAACTTTTGGCTACCTGCATTGCTACTATCTTGAGGGACGCGAACGTCATGCTGTTGTGCCTACGCAAGTTGGGGAGATCATATGATGGTCTTTGTCCTGCCATATTATCATGGGTACGAGGGTCCCATAATCGCACTTATGCAGTAAGTATATCATTTGCCAGTTTAACCCCCCCCCCCCCCCTTTTGCGCTTTTGGCATATCAGGTGAGCAATTGCGATGCGTTCGTTTTCAAAGGTCTCATTACTCTTGGTGCGGTTGTCAACTTGTAGTGGCTACACAAATGAGATATTGGATAAGAGAGGAAACGCTTCTCTCATGGTTCCTGTTGTTGCGATACCTACTCAGCATTAGTATGATTTCTGAGTAAGACAGACTAAAGCTGACTGGTCACAGAGAAGGAGTTAACGGTTACTTGGAGCACTTTTATCATTCGGGTCGGTACCCTATCGAATATATATCGAGTTCTTCCTGCAAATTTGTGGCAGGAGACGTGGGTAGTCTAAGGAGCACAGACTTACAACATCACGGCCGAGGGTGAAGCCAGCTTGCCAAGAGGACAGAGGCGGCGTTTTGATTCTTCAAAGTCGTCTGCTTGGAGAAAAGAAGATCAATATCAACTACAGTTGGATTCAAATCTAGGTTACGGGGAAATAGGGTAATATGGTAGGCTTATGAACCAGCTATCGATGCTGGGAAAATGTTGATTCAGCACTCAGGATTCGATACTGTGGGCTTGGGCTATACAGTCAAGATGGGACCCACTCTCCCCGACCAGATAGTTTCAGAGGTCGTTACCGACGACTGGTGGTTCGGCATGCTTGGGCTTGGGTTCCAGCCCACCAACTTCTCTGGATATGCAGAGCAAAGCTTTACAGGTACCCTGTGAACAAATGGCACGGTACCGAGTATGAGCTGGAGCTATACAGCAGGTGCATTCTACCGTCTCAAGGGCGTCTTGGGAAGTCTTGATATTCGGCGGCTACGATGCCTCCAGAATTATACTTAATCCTAATCCGGTTCACGATGGCAAGTGACAATCTCCGCGATTTGGTGGTTGCAATACGCTCCATTAGTTCTAGCACGGCCTCTGAAAACACTAATTTGCTGTCCAAACCTATACTGGCGTACATCGACTCAGCCGTCTCGGAGTGCTACCTCCCAGCTACAGTATGCCAGCAGTTCGAGAAAGCTTTTGGTCTCTTCATAGATCAGAAGTGAGGACTCCACCTGGTCGACAATTCCACGCACGTGAACTGGCAGCTCTCAACCCAAACATCACATTCACACTTGCCAACCAGAAGGAAGTGGTTCAACACCGGACATAGTGCTACCCTACGCAGCTTTCGACCTCAACGTTACCTCTGCAATTCTACTCAACTCTACAAGCCTGTACTTCCCAGTCAAGCAGACTGCCGACGAAAACACGTATGTTCTGGGGCGAGCGTTCCTGCAAGAAGCGTATGTAACGACGCCCTAAAACTCCCGAACCTTCAATCTCTCTCAGGCCGTCTTTTCAGATAGCACCGCCCCAATTCGTGTGGCTCTGCCAGCTACGCTCCCAACAAATACCTCAATTTCCAACACTGGCTCCGATTCTGATCCAAAGTCATCAAAGACATGGGCAGCTGGAGCAATAGCCGGCATCGCAATTGGCGCCGTCGTCTTGCTTGCCTTCCTCATAACACTGTTTTTTGTCTGTAGGAGAAAAACGCAGCAATGCAGCAGCAAAAGCGATCAAATCTATAGGAGAGAAAATTCCGACCCAAGTGAGCATTAGCAAGCGAACTCTCCGGAAATGACTCCAGGTTTGAGAAATGGGGCATTCCGATTATGCATCCGCAAGAGTTGCTTGCTAATGTTCTAGTCCAGAGAAGTGGGAGGGGAGATGAGGCTGGGATGGCGGGAGCGAGAGGAAGGGGTCCGATTGAGGAGCAGAGGACGCCGATGGCTAACTTGGAGGTTGAGGATAGGGGGCTGGGGTAGGATTTGACGAAGCGAGAGGGAGATTAATTTGACGGAGAAGACGGCCATCTCGAAAGGCATATATAACATTGACCGCGGCTCTGGTGGCATGATGGGGCGTGGCAGACCGTATACTCTGGCGTGTAGTCCTAGTGACTCAATGGAGAGGCTTAGTACGCCGGCATTGAGGCGGAATAGTATATTTAGGGAAATCGGACTTGATGGATTCTTGAATGCCTAGGCGAGGGTTATATATTGGAAAGAGTGCCGGAAGGTAATTGAATTCCAGGTGCAATAGCTGTTGTACTCAACAGGACATGCATCACTTGTTTTCGCGGATTAGAGCCGCAGTTTTAATCTTCTCTTTCTTTCCTATTCCTTGCTCTCTTCCCAGGGTCTGTCTCTATAGCTGGTTTGTATTCTTTACAGCACAAAGCCTTGAGCAAGAAGAGCTTCAGCCTTCACCTCTTTCTTCTCTTCCCCCCCCCCCCCCCTTCAGAAATTCACTGCTTCAGGCACAAACAAAGCCTCTAGCAAGAAGAGCTTCAGCCTTCATTAATCCCTTTCATTTCTTCCCCCTTTCTTAAGAATTCACTGCTTCAGTCATTCACAGAATCCAGATTGTAGCTGTGTATTCAATTAAGTAAAGAGAGTGAATTTGATGTCAATAGCTTAAATTTAAGAATCTGAAGACTAGGCAATGGAAAAAACTTCACCTTCAAGCTATTCTTTTAGTCTCGTTGATCTTCACCAGACGCGAATTGATGCAGTTTAGATGTATGTAAAATTCACTAACATCAGTGAAGTTTACATGCGTTATCAAGCGTATGTATTGAAAAAAATCATAACACTATTAGACATCTTTCCTCTTTTTTCTGGTCCGCGTTTTGTTTATATGTTGGTTTTTTTTACCACTTTAGAGCTGGAGCTATAGAAAGGTTGTACAATTAATGCATTGCAAATGAATTATTTTGATACAATTTATTTTTAAGAAACTTGCCATAAATTAATTTTTTAATTGAATTTCCATATCGATGCTTGTAGAACTTATCACTGTCATCTTTGTCGTTATATTCATATATATTTAGACCGTTGTTAACTCTATATATATGTCGATCTATTTTTCGTAATTCAATACAGAAGCGTGTAATTTTATGTCAGAATAAGCTTTAAAAATAAGAAATAATAAAAGGAAGTATCACTGTCATCTTTGTTAACATATCAATATATTTTCAACCCGCTGTCAAATTTATCAATATGTCGATCTATTTCTCACAATTCAATATAGAAGCACGTAATTTAACATCAAAATATTGCTCAGGAATCAGAAAGAAAGAAAAGGAAGCAATAAAGCGTTCCTTAAAGCCACTTATCGAAAGGAACTACGTCTAACAGCATACGTAGCTCCCACAGACAGAACAGCAACACCCATCGTTTGCTTTTCTTAAGGATTGGTTTGTTTGATTGTTCTCAAGCAGATAGGGGTGCTGGTTATATACATTTTAGAATTGGCGTTTAGATAGAAAAGTTTAATCCATTCAATCGCTCAATCAACTTCACTATTTTTCTTTTAGTTTCGAATGAATCTTGGTACTAACTTAACCAATGCGTATTTTCACTTACGGACTTTCTGAGTAAGGAAGTTCAAATTTCTAACTTGATGTGAATAAAGGTATACAGATCAGTAGAGAATTCAAGTGACAGCGTCTTTTGATTGACTTTACTATTGTTCTTTCAGTTCTGAGTGAATCTCAGTATCAATTCAACAATTAGTGCTTCTTTTCACTCAAGGGCTGTTTGCGTAAGGAAATAAGAATGTCTGACTTGACGTAAATAAAAAGTGCTTAATTAAGGATTCACGGTTTCCCTGAATTGACTTTACTATTATTCTTTCACTTCTGGGTGAATCTTAATATTAACTTACTTAGTGCTTCTCTTCACCCAGGGACTATCTGGATAGAAAAGTAGAAATATCTGACTTGATATGAATAACAGATGCTTAGATTAGAAATTCAATCCACGGTGTCCTTCAATTGACTTTACTATTGTTCTTTTACTTCTGAAAAATCGTACTATTTACTTAACCAATGCTCCCTTTCACCCAGATAATTTTTAGATAGGAAAGTGAAAATGTCTGATTCAATTTAAAAAACAAATGCTCAGATCAGAATTCAATCAACAGTGTCTTTCGATTGACTTTTCCCCTGACTACATTAGGTACGCCGGCTTTGGCACAAGGTAGCTCTCCTTCCCACCTAGAATAGCTTCCTTCCCAAAGAATCATAACCACGAAAAACAGCTATTTCTATTCGTACTAGGTCTCAACCCCGTGTGCATATATCCTATGTGGATACCAAGATTAACCAATGCTCCTTTTCACTCGAGGAAAGTTTGAATAGGAAAGTGAAAATGTCCGACTCAATGTGAATAAGGGTACCCGGATTAATGAATAAAGTGACAGTTTCCTATTGCATTCAATCAACTCGCACGTAATATCTCTCTCACTTTTTAATTCCCTGCGACTCTGACAATGCGACACTTTGAAGCTTGCTATGGCATTCCCTGCCTTGCTTCTTTGGCTTTTCTTTCTCTGACGGGAGCCTTTGTTCTCTTTTCGTAATCCATCCTATCTGTAAAGAAAGGGCGCAATCGATATCAGCACCGCTGTACCACCTTGAAATGATTTCTAGGGTCTTATATGTAACTCCTCAGCTTAGTACGTCGCCGTACCCCGTGGGAGGTCCCAGGGCGGCAGGCTTCGCCCGCCACCTGCCTGACGTTTGTAAATACAATAACACAATAATAATTACTTTCTAACGGTAAAGGCCAGAGGTTTGGGAATTCCGCTTCGAAAGCATTATAATTTGCCGCCTCCTATCTTATTTTATTAAACTATAAACTCTACTAGTACACTAGTAGCGAAATCGAATAGCTCAGTCTCTCTGCCGCTCGTGGACATGTATCGTATGACATGTCACAAATAGTAAATTCGCTAATTTATATCTGACTAAAAAGGGGACTAGCTACCGATATGATTAGAAGATTCTATCATAACCTTAGAATAGAGAGAGTTTATAAAGGGGAAGGTGCCCCTGAGCAAATTGCCAAGAGCATTGGGCTCTAAGCGAGAAGTTTAGCGAGGTTGTCGTGGGGTTTTAGTTGGGTTTATAGGCAACCTTTGAGGTCTTCCTGCGTATGACTCTTTTTGATGTTGGATATGACTCGGGAAGCTTGAATGTCTTGGACTACTCTTTGGTGATTCCATCTCGTATTCGTTGTGCCTGGGTACCTTGAGGAGTGGATCGGCTTCGGAGGTGTCTAGCTAGGACATCTTGTGGATGTTAACAGAATGCAGTTGCTCGAAGGTGGGCAATTGGAAAGATCTTCGTTTCCCGATTCGAGAGGTTTTATAGAGGGTTCTAGAGTAAATTATAGGTTGGCTCTTCAGTTTCTCTCCTATTTTAGAGGGGGGGAGGTGGGGTGTTGGCTTTGCAGATCGCTCTCGCGGGGTGTTTCTCTTCGAAAGTGAGGTGCAGGGTGATGAGACCAGTTCAGAATGCCGGGAAGTTTGATTGATTTCGAAGCAGTTCCATATTTGGAGCAGCTCCCCAAAGAAAATAATTCGGAGAACGAGTCCTTGCATTGGGCACCAGCTAAACTCTCCAAGTCAGAGTGGAAAGTGAGTTCATTGTCCCAAGACGAGGAAGCTACGAGAAACGGTTGTAGCCTTCAAACCAGGTGGCACGTACTCCTAGTGTAGTATCCCCAAAAACCCATCTGCACATTTTCAAGTGTCCTTACTCCATGCTATACAGAACAAAGCCTGATCGCCACCTTTGTATCTACTTCGGCTTGAAGTGTAGCTCCATTATGATACATCTTCACTTCATTCATCAACAGTACCACCAACCTTTGCTTTCTTCTTGGCCGCAGCACTAACCCACTCCTGCGTCTTCGCCAACACCTTCTCCTTGCTCTTCTTATCCCCATTCCCCTCCTCCCACTCACTCCAGCGTCTGAACCAAGCCACCGCTTGCTTAGGTTTCAATGCCTTGTTTGTCTTCACCATACGCTCGAATACACCACGTATGATATCCTTGTCATTTTGTTGGATTTCCAGATCGAGTAGCTGGTTCCAGATGTCGAGACGCTTGGGGAACGTGGTGAGTAAGGCTTCGAACATGGTGCGACCGCGCTCGGGGGAGCCGACCTTGGAGTGAAACTCGAGGGCGGCAAACTTGAGGGTTATGGCGACGTGAGTGTGGGATGGCAGAGATTGCTTTGCACGGGAGAGGAGGGCACGTGCACGGTCTGGGGAGGAGAGGGTTGAGTGAAGGAAGTGTGCGTAGTTTGCCCAGACGTTGGGGGACTGGGAGAACTTCTTGACGAGGACTTGAAAGAGGTCATCGGCTTTCTGAAATGGGGTCAGTTGTTTATGCTCTGCAGGGTAAGTGGCTGACTTACGCTGTGCTTGCCAGACTGAATGTAGATACTAGTCAGTCTTTCGTAGATCTCCTGAGCGTCGTTGTATTGGCATGCTCTCTTGAAAACCTCCTCTACAGTTTCATCACTGCCGTAAGCATTCTCCAGATTGAGAAGTGCGATCCAGACATTCATCTTCTCGGTCTCCTCGCGGATATTGATGGTTTTGATAGCACGCTCTGCAACTTCTCGCGCCTTGCTGAGCTCGCTTAGTTGCATCTGGAAAGCCATGTATTGGATCCACAGGGTCGATGAGTCTGGTTGTCCGAGCAGGAGACGTTCAAAATCACTGACGGACTGTGGGCCATTAACATCGAGATCACCGGTACGATCGACTGTAATTTCAGCCTTCCTACGCTTCTTCTTCGGCTTCTCGTCTGCGCCTTCGTTATCGGACCCGGCATTGGACTGTTCGTCGAGGACATTGGCAGACCAGTCGAAGCCTCCTGCGCTAAGAGCCGGTGCATCGGTATCGTCCTGAGCGTCAGGCATCTCGAGATCAGATTCCCCTCCTCCTTGGCCCTCGTTGCTGTCAATACTCTCGACATCGAGGTCGATACCCCCATCCTGGCCATCCTCGTCTCCACTGGAATCACCACCGATTTCGATTCCCTCCACCCCATCTAGATCTTCACCGTCGCTGTTGTCCCCAGATCCTGCATTATCCTCAAAGTACGAAGCCTTGAGCCCCAAGCTAATTTGTCTCTTTTCAGCATCGAGAAACACGATCTTGGCTTTGACCTGATCACCTGCCTGGTAAAGACTTTTCACGTCATCAACCCTTTTGTCAGCCATTTGAGTCCGATGGCAGAGGCCGCTGAGGTTATTGGTGCCATCAATGACAATAAAAGCGCCGAATTCCTCAACTTTTCTGATTTTTCCAGTGACAATTTGCCCGGGTCTTAAATCGGCAAAGCTCATGGGGAGCACGTAGTCTTTATCAAGGGCAGAGGCTTTCAAACTCATCTGGACGTTGCCTCTGGATTTGTCAATGCCAATGACCTTACCTTTGACAAGCTGATCAACCTCGTACTCGGACTGCCAGTCTTTGATGAACGAATCGGAGAGATCCGCAACCTTAACCAAGGCATCGACTTTCCCACCCAAGTTGATGAAGAGCCCCGCTTCGGTAATGTTTTTGATGAACCCGCGCACAATGTCGTTGGGCTTCAATTGCGAAATTTCCGAGATCTCAGGATCCTTTACTTCAAGAGAAGAGCTCAATACTCTTGATGGCCGAGTCGACAGTCTGATCTTTTTGTTTGGCAGGTCGACATCAACGACACATACTCTGACAATCTCACCCTTTGAGTACTTTGTAGGATCGGCTTCTGAGTAGTCATCTGCGAGGTCGGTAAGGTTGACTGGAGCCGATAGATTATCGCTGAGCTGCACCATGATGTGTCTCTCAGTAGATTTTGTGACCTTTCCTGTAACAACCATCCCCTTGCTTAAACTCTTCAAGGTGATAGGTCCTGAAGATTGACTTGATAACGCAGACAAATCCAAACGATTGTTTCCAGCATCGACATGTTTGACATGGACTTTAATAGCGGATCCAATGGGGAAGTGTGTCTCCAAGTTCTTTAATTTGGACACGTCTTCTGAGAGCTCTAAGGCTGGAATGCGTCCACGGACATTGGGAGACAGATTCACCCAAACGTATTCTTCCTTGATGTTGTTGACGTAGGCGACCCATGAGGATCCGACCTTGACCTTATCGAGTGCCAGGGGTTCTTTGGGGTCGTCATTCTGGTCGCTTGGCTTTGCGGATAACTCGAAAACCATAGTTTTGCCAGAGCGATGCGAGATTGGCAAGAATCGATGATTCTTGGCATCGTGGATACCCAGAACACGGACATTCAAGATCTGCTTTGGCGAGAATGATCGCACTGGCCTCTTGCGGTCCTTGATATCATCGAATGAATCGAAAATTTGCGAAACATCTATACGACCTTGGATATTGTCGGCAAGTTGAACATTGATCTGAGTTTCCTTTACAGAAGATATTTTTGCTTTCGTCAATCTTCCCTGCGTCAGATCGTCGAGACATGTAAGTGTGGTATCAATTGGGTTTACTGCTTCCTGATTGATACTACCAGATGAAACAGGTGTTTCTGGTTCGACTCTCTCCTTCGATGCGGCATCAACCATTGACAATTGGAACTGCCTCTGGCCATGATCTACTCGGGTGATCTTGACCTGTAAAGTCTGAAATTTCTTCATTCCGAAGTCTGGAAGACGGATAGCTGCCTCTGGCAACTTGACCTTTGGCAGTAAACCAGTGAGGCCTCCCGCAAACTGAACGAATACAGCCGTCAAAGTTATGTTCTTAACGAATCCATGGACAACCTTGTCCTCCTTCACGTCCTCGAAGCTTCTCAAGAGGAGCTTGGCTTTAGCATCCTTCACAAGATTTGGCTTGTTCGTCAAGATGATCAGGCGTTTGTTTTCGTACTTGCCGAGAACCACTAGATCGGTCAAAGTCTGTCCGACCCTGATCTTCTTGAGAGCGGACGCATTCTTTTGTGATGACCCATCAGTGAGCTGGCCGATCGGAAGGGTGGCACGAATTCCATGTAAGTCGAGAGAAATGTTGTCGTTGGACTTCTCTGTAACCACAGCGGAGACAACCTCGCCGAGCTTCAGCTTCTTGAACGCAGCTTGCTGAGCAAGGCCAAACGCCGCAGGATCCTTGCAAGATACTATCAATTTCTTGGCTTCTGGATCAACTTTGACAACGTGCACATTGACAACTTGACCAACTAAAAAATGTTGGGATGGATCCTGGATGTATGCCTCGCTCATTTCGGCGACCGGAAGGAAACCACGGATAGTCCCATAGAACTGCACCACGGCACCAGTAGAGAGGATGTTAACGATTGTTCCAGGGCTTTGCATGCCGACTTTGATATCGTCGTAAGAGACAAATAGAGCTGCATCCGAATTTACCAAGGTTTTCTTAAGAGTGAGTCGAATCTGTCGTTTGCCGGGGTCGGTGGATAGAACTCGAGCCATGACCGTCGAGCCCTCCTTAAACTTCTTCTCCGGACGGAGTAAGTGAACGTCTGCCATATGGGCTTCTGGAACCAGACCAGATATCCCATCAGCCAAGTTTACCAGCAGTCCTCCCACGCCTCGTTCGTTCACAACAATCTTCTCCACTTTTCCCTTGACCACTTCGCCGATGGATAAATCCTCGACTCGTAGGAAGGGCTGCGCAAGGATCGATGGCTCCAAGGATACAATATAGAGTCCATCAAGTGCGTTGTATCCAATCAGTCGCCCCCGATGAACCGATCCGGTCTTGAAAGGACCAGAGGTTTCTGCGAGAGTTTCAATCTTGCCATCCTTCACTCTGGAAATATGAACAAATCCGGCGACACCCTTGACACCCACGTCAACAAAAAGTCCCATTCCTGGCTCCACCTTCTTGACCTTTACTTCCTCAACGAAAGAAGAGAGAGGCAAGATATCGAGAGGGTTTTTTAGTTCACTGTTCAGAAGCCCTTGTAGAGACGAGAGCGACAAGACATGGTCCAATAGAGAGACCCCCAGTTTAGCGGGCTGTGAATTCGGGAAAGTGCATATTAATCTTCCCTTGACTTTCGACCCAATCTTGTATTTCTTCTCCAGATCTTTTCCACTTGCGCCAGCGCCCGAATGCATCAAATCCGCGGTCACATCAAGCGAGCCCATGACTTTCCCAGAGATTCCTCTCAGAGTGATTTCTGAGACCAAGATTTCGACAGCGGTACCTGGCAGGAACGCATCGATTGTCGGAGCATCGGAAAGGTATTTTGGATTCTTTGAGTTGGCGATCTTCTGCGGGTCCACGGATAGTTTGACGGTTTTCCCACTCGAATTCAGACCAAGAATCGTGCACAAGAAAACAGCACCTTCCTCTATGCTCGAAAGAGCCACTCCGTAACCAACTTCATTGGAAGACATGAAACCTTTCACACCGAGTTCGGGGAGACCAAGATCCATGATAAGTCCGTGATCTTCCACGCTTGCAACTGATGCCATGAGGGTATTGTTGGTGACCACATTCTGTACTGCTATGTTGGCATTTGATTGCTGTGGTCGAAGAGATAACTCGATGTGTCTCTTAGCCTTTGACCCGGCAGCCTCGTCGTCCTTGGTAGAAACAACGTATGCTCGAAGGTATTGCCCGATAGAAAACAATTTCTTCAGGTTCACATCCTTCAGGTCTGTCTCATCCTCGTCTTCTCCTTCCTGCGCAGCAATGGCCTCGATCCGTTCAGTAATCTTGTCCGAGATCGAGGTTATCGGCACGTATCCAGTGAGGTTATTAGGCAACGAAAGAGCTACATCGAGGTCATTGATTTGAGAAACTTGGCCCAAGACTAGTGACCCTGGGACTATCCGCTGCGATACGTTAGATGTGCAAGACTCTGACTTGAGTATCCCAGCTTACCGTGTAACTCAGGCCCTCAATCCTAACATTTTTCTCCTCAACTTCAGCAGCTTCACTGCCCTTATTTCCCTTGCCTTTCACTTTCTTCAGCTTGTGCTTCTTCTTTGCGGCCGGCTCGCCATTCACGCCAGCTTCAACGGACTTGGAGTTTGCGCCTTGTTCGAAGAGAACATCCCGAGTAGCTTCAATTTGAATTTGTTTGTGCTCCAAGGGCGTCAAAAGACTTGCGCCACCTCTAGGAAAGGCGACCTCTTCATCTTTAGCTTTCGATATTTTGGGGACATAAGGAATTTTTGATTTCGTGGTGTTCTCCCCATCCTCCTCTGCTCTTGGCCGTTTCGATGGTCGCGTGTCGGCATCAGCAGTGTTTCGAGAGCGTGCAAAAGACTCGTTAGTCGGACCGGTCTTCCTCTTCTTATCAATGGGCGCCATCTTGTACATCCAACGTCGGGTGTTGGTATGTGACTTGTCGCGAGTTGTTCCGCCTACACGTAAAATGCAAGTGCCGCGAAGTTGGGGACTTTTTTTTTTTTGCGGGCGAGGCGGGGACTAGCGCCGGAATACAGTGGTGCAGCCAAGACCGAGACTGTGAGTTGCATGTACCTATGTTTTGTACTTGGTATTTTTGATATTGGGATAACTGCGGTATACGGAATGTGTATGTTTATATTGACCATGAAAGAGTTACCTGTTCTAACTATGGACCTCGTCAGGTACATTAGGCATCTTTACAGATAACATTGGCAAGAACTCCGAATTGAAGCAGTTCTCTTTGCTCAAGCCTCTAGAACCATTGCCTAAAGCTTTTTTACGTTCCTGAGTACCATGTGTCTTCTACTGTATTCTGCTCATAAATCGAGGATTGCCTACGAAGTAGGTACCTAGGAGTGAAGTATCAAGTCAGACGCTCCCACAAGACATTACATAAGCCGGGTCTGTGAGTATTGAGGGGCCTCGGGCTATCCAAGTTGTGTGGCATCAGGCTGCCAAGTCACCCGCAAGATACAATCCAGCCGTCCAAAGAAAGACATCTGTCTGGTAGTGCATCTCCTCTGATTTTTTACGACCGCCACGTCCCCTTCAAACCTATTGCTCGCTCGGCGTGGATCCAGGTCTGCGTGTGCCATCCTGTTTAATGGGCCCTTTAAGGAAATCAAAACGAGCCAGAACGAAGTCTCCCAGCGAGAATGATCCGGCTGGCAGTTCAGGTCAAACGCCACTCGAGGAAAGCTCCCCGACCACGGTGAAGCCTTCGAATCCTATAGTCGAGACTTCAAGCGACATTCCGGGTACAAAAGATGAAGTCCCGACCCGTTTGAAGGGCGTCAAGCCCGAGTCGAGCTCTTTTAAACCTGTCTGTCGATCTCACCGTGCAGTATTGCCTGACTGACACCATGCGCAGCTTAAAACGAGGGCAAGTTGGTACGGCACTTGGCCTAGGAAATCGATGGCCTCCACTCAAGTAGCAAGGGAATCGATCCTTGCAGACAAGCCGACGAACTCATCAACCGTGGATTTAAGTCGATTTGAGCCCAAGAAATCCCCGCCCACGAGACCTTCTATCTCAACTACCAGGCCACCTTCAATGTATCTTGGGAAGAGCAAGGAGACTTTAGAAATCACCATGGGAGGAACTATGGACGTTGATGGACCAACAGACAAGAATGAAAGGAAATCCGACCCTTCTTCCCTGACGGGAGAAGTATCTACGGCCGAAGAGGCACCAGCAAAGGCCCTAAAAGCTCAAGAGAAGTCTTCTGAAATTCAAATCCCACCACAGGCTGGTAAAGATCCTCCGAGACCTGCAACATCGTCAGGTTGGCTGGGAGGTTGGCTTAGCAGACCTACAGGAGAGGTGCCGACTGTCCCTGATAAAGCGCCTGAGATCGCCCCAAGCGTCGAAATTGGGGATATGCCAACAGTCGAAGAACAGGTCACTGAGCCTGTAGTAGCTGCTCAGGAAGAAGATGCTTCAAAGCCAACTATACCGCCCGCGGCATCAGGCTCCTGGTTTGGCTTATGGTCAACTGCAGCACCCTCAGTTGCGACGGAAGCTCCGAAACAAGAGATTCCCGTCAAAGTCCCGGAAGATGACCAAGAAACTGCTATGGCCGATGCCCCGACTCCTACGACTTCTAAGCCAGTCCCGGGTGCCCCGGCTGCTGGCTCAAGTTGGGCGTTCTGGTCCACTGAACCATCCAAGAAGACAGTTACAATGCCGAATAAACCCGAAGCTTCTGGCGAAGTTGCAGTCGCTGGAGATGCTTCTCAACACAAACCACAACCGGCGAAAACGGCGACTGTTAAAGAAAGTAAGAAATGGCAGTCGAGTAAAAGAGGACGACCACAGTCGACCGAGAACGATGCTGCGGTGAAAGTAAACCAGGCCGCGGCATCGATAGCCAAAAATCCCTCAAGCCCTGCACCATCAAAAGCAAAGACTTCGCCCCCGAACCTGCTTATACCTTCGGTGAGAAGCACTTATAGACTTGTAGAGAATCCCTCGATACTACAACAAATCTCCCGGCTACTATTGCGCGGTCAGCAGAAACCTGTGAAGCACGTTTTTCTCACAAAGGAGCCACCTAAGATCAAAAAAGCGCTTGCAATCGGCATTCACGGTCTATTCCCCGCCCCTCTCCTTAGAACAGTAATTGGTCAGCCAACAGGTACATCTATTCGATTTGCCAATCATGGAGCGGAAGCAATCAGGAGATGGACAGATCAGAACGGGTCTGTTGATTGCGAAATCGAGAAAGTAGCACTCGAGGGCGAGGGCAAGATTGCCGAACGGGTTGATAACTTGTGGAAGCTTTTGCTCAACTGGATTGAACATGTCAGGAAGGCCGACTTCGTGCTAGTTTCTTGCCATTCGCAGGGAGTTCCTGTGGCGCTGATGCTAGTAGCTAAACTGATAGAGTTTGGCGTCGTGACAACGGGGAAGATTGGAGTTTGTGCAATGGCCGGAGTGTCGCTGGGTCCCTTTTCGGACTACAAGTCTAGGCTTTTCAGTGGTTCAGCCGGCGAGTTGTTCGAATTTGCAAACCCCCACAGTACCGTGTCTAAACGATATGAGGACTCTCTCAAGGTGGCTGTGAAGTATGGGGTTAGAGTCACATATTGCGGTTCTATTGACGACCAACTGGTGTCATTGGAGGTACGAAAACCGAACTCCCATTGACAGAAAGCACTAACATCGACCAGTCCTCCATATTCTCTACAGTCAGCCATCCTTACATTTTCAGAGCAGTTTTTGTCGATGGCCGGATACATGCTCCTGACTTGTACGTTACCCTTGCTTGAATTTTAAGATCAGCTCACTAACTCCGTGGCAGCCTCTCACATCTCGTCGGATTTGCACTGAAGCTACGCAACCTTGGTGTATCCGACCATGGGCTCATCAGAGAACTTTCAGCGCCTCTCGCAGGTAGTCTGTATACCGGCGAGGGCCATTCACGACTTTATGACGATGGAAATGTTTACGAGTGCGTACGCGATTTCGCCATTAATGAGTATTCGCTAATCAAACATAGCCTTGCGGTCGAGTACGCCCTGGAGACAACTTCGGTAGGCGATGTCCCACTGGATATCAAGAAGTACGAGATCCCAACCAACGCAAATCCATATATGTTGCCATGGATAATGCGGGGTCTTCTAGAAGAAGACTTTGTAAAGACGGAGCTCGATCATGAGACAACAGAGCTATTGAAACAGTTTGATGATTGGAAGCCTGCGACCAAGGTCCTTAAGGACGTCAAGTACAGACTTGAGGCTGTCAGGTCCAAGCTATGAAATAGGGAATGCGATTATGATATAGAACACGGATAACAGGCGCTCGGAGGTACAAACTTGGGCTAGATCCCTAGAGGGGCAGGATTTGGCGTTGAGAAGTTGTAGATGGCATTCGCCAACAGAATGATACCCGTACATAAGAGCATCCTAAAGGCATGAGGGCGATGTTGAGTGATGTAAGAGCCCACCCGAGATTCTCGTTACCTGAATTGGCAGACAAAGACAAAATGGAAGGGTCCGGAAAAAGTCCGGTCCGACCCCACCTGACCCCCAGGGACCCCTTTTTCTTACGTAGCGTCGGGGTTGTTTTGAACCTACGGAGGTATAACTAGTACCTGAGGCTGCAACGAAAACAAACCATCCACTTATATCCGTACAGATATCAGTACAACACCTTCACGACGCTCTTTATGATTTTGGGTATTTACGGCGCATATTTTTTTTTTGATATTGGCACATATTATCCAAACCGGCAGTCCTTAACATGAATCTCTTCGGCAACAAGAATTCTGGCATCAAGCCTGTTAGGGGGGTAGTCCGAACAATTCGAGTCCAAAGTGAAGTGCAGCCGACAGCACTACCCTCTGCCCAGAGACCAAGACATGAACCTCCTCAGAGATCTCAGCAATCACAAGCCACACCAGCTCGAGTGTCTCCTTCATCTTCGACCGCCAGTCCTGCTCCGTCCTCAGATCAGCACGCGTCCTCCCATCTGCGACCTCCGAAGCGCAAGGCAGATCAACGTGTTCAAAGTGACAGCGATGACAATGAAGATGGCGGGGATAAGAACGGCATCTTTGGTAGGCCCTTCGACACAAACAAGTACAAGCGCCAGAAAAATGATCACCCTGTTGACTCCAGGAGGACTTTGCGCCGCAAGGAAGCTTTCTCTGAAGCTGATGGTGGGGGGTTCAAGATGATCCATGCTATGGATGCGGTTCCTATTAACAAGGATGGCTGCCCCAAATCTTCTTTGAAGCGCTTTAAAGTGTTTTTGCAGTACCCGGGTGCCTCTCAGCTGGAAAGGTTGGACTATCATATCCATGGCAATTATATGACCAAAGCTGACATTGAACGATGCAGATTTGATCTCATCCCTGGCAAAGACAAAATTGATTCAATCAAAGAGATCTGCGAAATTGCCCAGATTGTGCGGGATGTTTACTTAACGGCCAGTCAAGCCAAAGCGTTTAGCAGTACCCTCCGTCCTCTGGAGGCAGCAAACAACGAAATAGGAACAAAGGGGCTAGGCAAAGAGACGCTACAGAAATTCGGAATCGCAGTCGAGAATTATAACAAAGCGGTCAGAAGCCTTTTTAAGAATGGTTCACTGGCCAAGAATCTCGAAAATTTGCATGATCTCCCATATAATATGATCGAGTTCATTCTAAGACAAGGCTACGATCGAGCTGTCTCGCCCCAGGTTGACTTGTTACAATTTTATTCCGCAAAAGACAACACTTACGGCGAGCTCCTCTGTCCGTTCGTCAGCCGAGTCCTCGGCGAGACTGGGCTCAAGTCGGACCAAGTTTTCGTGGATCTGGGCTCTGGCGTTGGAAGTGTCGTCTTGCAGGCCGCGCTGCAGTTCGGTTGTGAGAGCTGGGGCTGTGAGATAATGCCGAAGGCCTGTGAACTCGCAGATAAGCAACTGGCTGAATTTGCTGCCCGTTGCCGCCTCTGGGGACTCCAGACCGGCAAAGTTCATCTTGAAAAAGGCGACTTTCTGGAAAACGATGTGATCAAAGCTGCGCTACGGAAAGCAGATGTCGTTCTGGTGAACAACAAGGTTTTCAGTTCTGAAACCAACGAAGCGCTCCGGTATCTGTTCTTGGACCTCAAAGATGGATGCCATATCGTCTCCTTGCAGTCATTCGCCGTTGGGAATGGGCGCAACGAGAACGATTTGGCAAATTTGATTCAGAACAAGATTACTGGTGTTTTCTTCGACAAGGATATTAGCTGGACGAACGGCACTGGTCAGTACTTCATCGCCACGAAGGACCAAGGCCATCTTGACAAAATCAGCGCTGCGAGCAAGCTACGCTCGTGATCCTATCATTCGGTCGGTTTTCATGTCCATACAGCGAGTTGTGAAGGAGCGTGCGTAAAGATTGATGAGGGACGACAATTGAAGAAAAGAATGTAAAATACTAACAGTGAACGAAAACAGCGTTAGCGGTGGAAGTCCGCGCTGAATCAATACACCATGATACCCAAGCCTCGTCTGCCATAGAAGCATATCATCCAAATGCCTTGTTCATTTCCTCCGCTTCCCTACCCTTGCGGGCCATCCATCGGTCTATTAAATCCTTATTCTCAGCCTTGAGACCATTGACCTTCTGCTCAGACAAATTCAGCTGCAAGTTGAGCGAAATAACCTCATCATGAACGTCCTCGTATACGTAAGCCATGTATCCACCTGTTGCCCGACAGCACACCTACATCTAAGAGCTTTGTCTTTCCCCGTAACTCCTCATCCCTATCCTTCAGCTTCTGGGCGAGGTACGAACGTTCCCTAGACAGCTCATCCACCTGCTTGGACTCGGATCTACTCTTGACTTTCAGCTTGCTCAGCTCAGCCTCGGCGGTCTTGATTCGCGACTGAAATTGCCCGTTCGAGCGCAGTGCTTCTGCCAGGTCCCGTCTTATCTGCGCCGTATTATCGTTCGTACTCGCCGGCGTGGTTGGATCTCGCGGTTTCGCGCCGGCGGTCTCCGCGGATGTACGTGCGGCTTTCTCGGCCTCGAGTTCTGCTGTTCGGTCTAGGAGGTTCGTGACTATATATTACTGCATTAGGCTGTAAAGTTCGAAGAGGTGTTGGGGAGCGTACAGGCAGATATCAAATCGGCGTCGAGCCTCTGGTAGCTGGCTCTCTCTCGCTGGTCCCGCTCCTGCAGGTTCCGAATATACTCATCTCGCCACGAAGTCATGTTGCGCCTGTGTATGCTGCAGATACAGTAGATGCAAGGTCTAAATTACAACCTACATTTCTTACCTAGAAGACGTTAGGATGGTGCTTGTTGCAAAGTGACTTTAGTCCAAGGCTGAACTTTGAGCTTGTAACGAGGTAAGGCTGCTGTTTCGGGGGGGCTGGCCTGTCATGAGCTCTGGTCACTCCGTAAGCGGTGAACCCCAAGTGCACTGGAGAGCTCCCTCATAATCATCCACCTCCTCGAGCATTGATATTATCTCCGCTCTGCAACCACCTCTTGTCTAGTCCTGAGTCAGCAATTTGAGAAGTTAGAGGGTTTAATAGAAAATCCCAGGGCTGATAGGACAAGAGGGAAGAAGGCCGATATCCTTATTGTCCTTGTGATCGCGCATCAGCCGCCCTCTCCAGCCTCTCTCCTCACAATGGCGTCCAGAAAGAAGGTTTTGCTCAAGGTAGGAGGCCTCTGGTCGCTCAGTTGTGTCTGTATGTGTCTGTTTGAGTGCAGAGCTAACTGGGTATGCAGGTCATTATCTTGGGCGATAGCGGTGTCGGCAAGACGAGTTTGATGAACCAATATGTACATCCCCCCCCCCTCCTTTCGACCCCCAGACTTCTGCACATAACACACTGCCTGCCGACATGGAGGACTGATGATTGGGCAGGTCAACAAGAAGTTCAGTGCAAGTTACAAGGCGACGATTGGGGCGGATTTCCTCACGAAAGAAGTGTTGGTTGACGATAGACTTGTCACTATGCAGGTGAGGCCCCTACCTCCCTCGTTGGAACATACATGGATGGATTACTGATGGGACATAGCTTTGGGATACGGCAGGCCAAGAGAGATTCCAATCGCTGGGTGTAGCGTTCTACAGAGGTGCCGACTGCTGTGTTCTGGTGTACGATGTGAACAACTCGAAGAGTTTCGACACGCTTGATAGCTGGAGGGATGAGTTCCTGATCCAGGCTTCCCCTCGAGATCCCGATAGCTTTCCTTTTGTGAGCTATGGCACAAGCTGAGTGGGAATTGGGGCTAATTGGTATAGGTCGTGCTGGGAAACAAAATCGATGTGGAGGAGAATAAGAGAGTGGTATGTTTGAGACGCTGAAGCCGTGGGGACGTTGGCTAATATTGGTTCAGATATCGTCGAAACGGGCCATGACCTTCTGCCAGTCCAAAGGCGGAATTCCATATTTCGAGACTAGTGCAAAGGAGGCTATCAACGTAGAACAAGCATTCGAGGGTTAGTCTTCTTACATCTCCTCTGGTCTGACCTTCCACTTACTAACAGTTCTCTACAGTCATTGCAAGAAACGCCTTAGCCCAAGAAGAATCCGAGGAGTTCAGCGGCGACTTCTCAGACCCCATCAACATCCACATCGAGAACGACAGAGACGGTTGCGCATGCTAGAGAAGAAGAACCAGACGGGGCATTTTCTTTCTTTCCTTCTACGTGCGTCCTGCCCATTTTTTCCTGGTCTTCGGAACGGCCTTGAATTGCGTTTTGTGCACCGGGCACCTTTCCGGAGCCACGCTCATGTAATGGGCGGGCACGGCCAACCAAAGTTCGGGTGTACATAGGAATCAGTATTGGCGTTTTGGTGTCTGCGTCTCCTTGTCTATACAGAATGCATAATGGGTTTTACAAGAAGGCTCTCTTGTCGCCTTCTGTTGGTCTGGCCTGTGAGAGGTGATGCTGGAAACGTCTAGTCTCATGGAACCTGGAGAACTCTCCTGGCAGTGTGTTTTCAAGCTCTTGTCGTCATGGTAAGGCACGTGTAGACTCTCACACAGCTACTACTAGCTACCATAAGTCGATCCATATATAAACTTACACAGTGGATCTGTGTTACCTTCGCGGTATCTTCAACATCGCTTAACATTCGTCTTTCTCGGGCTCATTGCGGCTTGATCAAGGGTGTAACTTGAACTGCAAAAAATCATAGCCTCGCAACGCATCAAGTTTTATCTTCGCTGGGAATAATCATTCATGCCATACACATATATATGTATACCATATATATATATATATATATATATATTTATACGAAGTATAAGAGCCAGGCTGCACTGCATGAGGAAACGGAAATTGGTTTTACGACTTTATTTAGCTCACCCCATGAAGTCAAGAGTAAAGTACTATGCTCACTATAGAGCATGACATGGTTGGGCTGCCAGTGCCAGCCAAAGCTATCGCCGGAAAGCCGTATCGGAACTGCCCGCCTATCGCAAACAAGGGGTATGAGTGCGGAATAGGTACAAGTGCAGGGATAGCGAAGATACGTTTCGTCCAAGAGATTCCACCACCACAATTCGAAATACCTACTTCACGCACTGCCAAACATTTGTCGTTCCTACCTATGGTCTTCTGCCAGTCCTGCATCAACATAATCGATCTCGGATGATAGACACAGTGCATCATCATATATGCCTAATGAGACGTATAGTGCTGGCCCTTCCATGACACCAGCATTCGTCACTTTCCGACCCCCATGACAGAAGCTTAACAAATCTACTTTCTAAGTCCTCTTAACGATAAGAGCTGCACACGCAAGCAACGACGCTTGCTGGGAATATCATGAGTGCACAAGAGCCTCCCGTGCTGCTCGGGGTGGCTGCTGAAGAGTTACCCCGAGACCAATCGATGGAGTACCACAACAGGCAGTCGGCGGCTTCCGTGAGGCCGGCGCTGAAGCCGCTGAAGCCGAGAGGATTTCGGGCTCTCGTTGGCTTGGAGAATATGGCACGCCGAACCCTGGGAATCTTCCTGCTGCTAGTGACAGTGATTCTGTGGACCGCGTCCAACTTCTTGGCCAGTGTAAGTTATATACTTGCTTCTATGCCAGCTGTGACTTGCTGACACTCTCCGAGTATATATTCGCAGACAAAACCTACTCCAAGCCCTACTTCGTCACCTATATCAATACCTCGTTCTTCGCCATCTCGTTGATCCCCATATTCCTCCGGATATCTCATGAACATGGCTTCTCACATATCAAGAACTCCTTGGTGATATTTTGGGAAGGCAAGGGAGATTATGCGCCAGTTGGAAGCAAGCCTAGGGACGATGACGAAGTCGAAGACTCCATGTCAGCTTCTCAGACCCGACTTCTGGTGGACAATGATGTCGGTCCAGCTCTGACATTGACGGGAGAGCCTCAACCTCCGGAAGAAATGCTCAGTGTACCAGAGACGGCATGGCTCAGTCTGGAGTTTTGCCTTCTTTGGTTTGGAGCCAATTATCTGGTTGCGGCTTGCTTGGAATATACCAGCGTGGCCAGTTCTACGATCTTGACATCTACGAGCAGTATCTGGACACTGGTCTTCGGGGCTCTGGTGCGGGTCGAGCACTTCTCATATAAGAAACTCATTGGAGTTTTGGCATCCTTGGCTGGGATTGTTTTGATCTCATCAGTGGATCTTGCTGGTGAGGATAACGACGACAATCGTGGGAACTTTCCCCACAAGTCACAAGGAGAGATAGCAATCGGAGACGCCATGGCTTTCGGAAGTGCTGTTATGTACGGCATCTACACCGTTGTCATGAAAAAGAAGATTGGGAATGAAGACCGCGTGAACATGCCACTATTCTTTGGACTGGTTGGGCTTTTCAATGTCATTTTCATGTGGCCGGGCTTTATCATACTTCACTATACTGGAGTTGAAGAGTTTGGTCTGCCACCTACTGGGAAGATATGGGCCATCGTACTGGTAAGTATACTTCTATAAGCATGCTTGGGCGGGCATTCCTGAAATCGATACAGCTGAACTCGGCATCGTCTTTCATCAGCGACTATGCTTGGGCTTACGCCATGCTCCTCACAACTCCGTTAGTGGTAACAGTGGGACTATCCATGACAATCCCACTGTCATTGATCGGTCAAATCATCCTCAACACTCAATACTCCAGCGCGTTGTATTGGGTTGGGGCTCTTGTCGTCCTCCTCTCGTTCTTGTTCATAAACCACGAGAGCAAGGAGGATCAGCCGCGGCCTATCCGTGAAGGTTTTGATGAATTTGCCTGAGGCAGCCGCTCGCACTAGAAGAAGATAATGAAATGGTTAGAGAGTTTGGCAGGGATAAATCTGAGACTGACATATGCAGGTGTTGGCATCCCGTTGGAGTATGCTGAGCTGGAAAAGACACTAAAAGCAGACCCGGTCGCAATAGAGACTGGATAACTCGGTGTCCAAATTACCAAACCTCGTATTAGGTGACAGAGGAACGATCTCTGGATGGCAGGTAGAGGTAGATATACCATGGGCGTTGTTGTAAGTATTTTTCAAGATCAGACACCTTCGAAAGTTCTTGTATAGACAGACACAATGGAGCCTGTTCTGGAGGGTTAAGGTGGTCATGGTAGTAATGAAGGCCAACGAAATTATGCTCCATAATGTTTCCTATGTACTGTGGAACTCTGTTGCTTCTTGTATGTCGATCGATAGCCAATTGAATTACGCTCAAGAACGGTGGCTGTTGGATCTGTATGTGGTGTTTTTTTTTTTTTGGTTGATGTTCTTGCCTTGTATACGAAAAGTGAACGCGTGCTTTCGTCCATTTCTCATATCTTAGCGACGATTCCCTTACTGTTGCGTTGCGAGTGTTTTCTCTGCAGCACAAGGAGGATCTCGGTTTTTGGATTTTTGTGGTTGTGGGTGTGTCTTGTTGTGGTATATCTCCTCACCTTACCTTGCGTTCCTTCCTCCCACGTGGAAATTAGACTAGACCAGACCAGACCAGACTAGGCGACGGCGACGGCGATGCGGCGACAGGAAATATTCATCTCTTACCGCCCATCTCGTCTCAACCCCAAGAGGTGAAGTGACGTCTTTTCTCCTCCATCATCACCCCTACGATCGATAAATCTCAACTTTTTCTCGGCCTCGCCGCCTGTCACTCTTTTGTACTTCATCTAGTACCCACTGCATACCTACGTCCGTCCCAATCTTGCACACAGCACACAGCACATCACCTCTTCTCTCCCGCCGTGACCTGGACCGCGATCTTGACCGCGACCTCGACTTCGACTTCGACTTCGAATTTTCTTTCGACTTTGACCTCAACCTCGACCTCGACCTCGACCTTGCTACCCTGCCACCATACCCGTCTTCTCTCGCACGAACGCGAAACCTCCAGCAATGGCCGAGCCTGCTACCCCATTCGGTGCCGACATGGTCTTCACTGATGAGCAGTTGGCCCTCGACAAGTCGCTCGCCCACCCCCTTATATGGACTGCCTCTTTCCTCATGATCCTGGCTGTTGGGATGACCTCGCTTCGTCTCAGCGCCCGTCTCTGCGTCAAGCTTCCTGCTAATCGTCGGGGCAAGACGAGCGCAGTTGGGTTGGACGACTGTGAGTATTCATTCCCTTCCCGCCTGTCGGCAAAGCCGAACTTTTTTTGTCCCATCTCTGCGGCCGTGTCGCGTTGTCTGCCGCCGTGCCCCAAGGCATCGGCCAGTCTAACTCATCAATCTTTGGCAGTGCTGATCCCATGCTCTCTAGATCTCATGCTCGCAGCTACTCTCTTCATGGTCGTCCTCGCCGGCTTCATCATCGTAGGGGCAAAGAGAGGGCTCGGAACCCATATCTGGATCATCGTGCGAATTCCAACGTTCAACTTCAGAGCAGCTGAGCATCTCGTCAAGCTGAACTATGGTGCTTACAGCGCGTACGCAGTAGCAACCTCTCTCACGAAGTTGTCAATTATCGCCTCCTACCTTCGTATCTTCCCCGGAAAGATATTTCGCCGATTGATGTATGTTTTGGGGGTCGCCATCGTGATACAAGCAATCATCTTTGTGCTCGTCGTCGTCTTCGCATGCACCCCACCAGAAGGCTCTTGGAACTGGTCGATACCGCGCAGAAAATGCATCAACATCAGACTGTTCTTCTACGTCAGCTCGGCTCTCAACGTCGCTTCGGATTTTCTCTTGTGGGGAGCGCCTATTCCGGTATTTTGGAGATCCGCCATGCCTCAACGACAAAAGATCGAATTGTCTGGTCTATATGCAATTGGCTTGGTGTAGGTCTGGACATGATGTTTCGTATATACCCGTACTGATATGTTTCGACAGGAGTTGTTTGGCAGGTCTCTTCCGTCTCGGTCAACTCAAGGGCTTGGGTGGGATTGACGTTACCTGTAAGATTGTTCCCACGAATTCGTTCTCGTGTCTATCTAATACTCGGGTATAGATGAAGGTGCTGCGCCGCTCAACTGCTCGATGGCAGAAGTAAGCTTCGGAATTACATGTGCCTGCGTTCCGCCTCTTAGACCGGTCTTTCGTCTTATCAAACAACGCATTCGAAAGCTGTTCGGTTGCACTGAGCCCAGAAAGACTACCCCGAGCCCAAATTCATCGGAAAGTAGGGATTACCTTCGGGAATTCCGAAAACAGGATTTGAAAGGACAAGGAAATAGTGGTCTGGATATGGATGAGTTCGAGCGCAAATACATGGGCTCTTCGTCGGTCATACACACGCCAGCCCAATGCTATTCGACCCGTGGCTCTAACTCGGCCACAAGATCGTCAGGTCTAGCTTTCTCGAGTCAGGGCTCGGCAGGCAAGGACTCGTTAGACCCATTCTCATCATCCTCAGGCTCGGTCACTCCTTCTACTCGTCGTACGCCAACCCATACCGAAATAGAGCGCAGTCCTACGTTGGACTGCCCTTCTAGCGCGAGCGACAAGAGTCTATCCTAGACCATCCTGGTAGCTTCTATATGTGAAGACATTTCCTTCTCGGGACATGAATATTCGGTTGATTTCGTTGGCGCGGGATTCTGATAGGTACCATCGGGGTTCATTTGAAACCAGCTTCCTTTTGCTTAATTCTGGATTGTTTGTGTTCGATACCCGGCGAGTTAGATGGATCGGTGAAATAATTGCTGCGGACATGCGGGGTTGGTAATGATCAAAGGGAGTCATCTGGTCTGTCGTTAAACAATAATGTAAATCGCCTCTCAGAAACACCACTCATGATTTTCCTTTTCTTCCTCTCGCAGTTTGCTATTTTAAACCCCCCTTCCATCCATCCTTCCCTCAAGCGAGCGAGAAGACCAAGGGGGAAAAGGGAAGGAGAAAAAGGGAGGAGAGAAAAAAAAACCACCCTCCTTAAGGATTCACGACCATGAACCCCACCGAGTACCATCCCCGAAGCCAACAGCTTCCTCAAAGCTCTTTCCAGCAAGCCGGCCGACTTTCAGGCCTTCCTGACCACCTTGGAGTTCTACTCCAAGCACCGCACTCGCCGAGTGCTTACCTAGATGCTTACACCTATTAGTTTCGTAAGGAGAACGGGTTCCGCCCCTCCTTACATAGACTATAAAGACTCGGCGCTAAGATATACGCCGAGGGTTGCATTTCTCTTTAGGCGGCGAGGTTCCTTCCTAAAGGAACCTTACTGACCTTGAACGCATGCTAAGTAGGATATCGGATTGATAGGTTGGGTTTTGGATCCAGAGTTTTGAATGTGGGTTTTGAGGTGAGGCGTTCTTTTCTTTTTCCTTCCTCTGTACTACTCACCATACCTGACCTCAGTCCGGCCTCGACACTATCCATATTCGTCTTCTTACGATTGATCCTACACCAAATCCACGCTTCGAAGCTAAGCTAGCTGCCGAAATCTCTACCCTGCTTTGCTCCTTTACTTTTCTTTTCCTTGACGTAAGATCTCTTTTCTTGTGATCGATCTAGTATCCTACCTAGAAGAAACAAGCGCAGATGATCGCAGCTGTGATTGTATTACTCTGGATCTGCTTTTCAAGATTGTCTTGTGTGCAACTCCTTAGCTGAGCACGTCGTCGCCGTACCCTGTAGGAGGTCCCTGCGCGGTAGGCGGTAGGCGGTAGGCGGAGCCTGCTACCCGTCCGACGTTGAGAAATACAACCATAATAATAATTACCAGGATCCCCTTGGGCGGTGGGGGCAGCGTCGCCATCGCACACACTACTGGATATTGTACGGCGCTGAAGTCCCGCTCGTGCCGCCCTGATAGGAAGTTCCGAGTTTGCGGACATCCGGATTAGGCAGGTCCCCTGGATCATTCAGCTTTGTCGCGGTAGCTTGGCATTTAGCCTTCCCCGTCGTTGTCACCATGCTATGCCGTGCAGTTCGTGATCGGACAAATATGCGACTTGATATAAACAAACAAACAAACAAACAAAGAAAAGATGTGGTGGTGTTGGACCGCCGGTAGCGAACGCTCATTCCTAGCGTGCGGCGCACGTACCTAGCTCCTTGCCATTGCAAAACTGTCGGTAAAAATGGTATCTGATTCTTGTCTGCCCCCCAAGGTTCGGGGGAGTGGATTCCTTCTAGACGATTAGAAGTATTCACGAGACTACGTAGCGATCTAACACCATTTACAAGGAAGTTGGGGGCCCCTGAGGGTATGCCACGCTAAGCGAAGCATACCCGTGTAAGCGAGGCATGCTCATCCGTAGCCGAGCTGGCCCCAACCAAGCTGGGTTGATATTGATGTAGGTAGGTACCGACAGGTAGTTAAAGTCTAATAGTCAGTGTGCTGACTGTGAACCTGCGGGCCCTCGGTCACAGTAAAGTAAGTAAAGTAAGTAAAGTAAGTAAAGTAAGTAAAGTAAGTAAAGTAAGTAAAGTAAGTAAAGTAAGTAAAGTAAGTAAAGTAAGTAAAGTAAGTAAA